CTTTACCAAGGAAAATTTTGTTTGATAGCATAACTTCTCTGGATATTATTTTAAATCAGTCTGGTAAAGAGAAAAAATACAGAAAGTATTATAATTTGTGTTTTCATCATAAAGTATTTTACATCAGTATCTTACTGCAATACAGTAGGTGACCATGAGAAATATTCTGAATCTTAAAAGTACCAGATAAAGACACAATAACTAATGATTTTGTCTTTAGGAGGGCCAGAACTAATTGATCCTGCTGGTCTGCCATTACCTCAGCCAGCTCAGTCCTGGGTATGGCTTGTGGATCTAGAAAGAACAATTGCTCTCCTTATTGGGCGATGTCTTGGTGGCATGCTTCAGGGCTCACCCGTGTCTCCAGAGGAACAGGACACTGCATATTGGATGAAAACGCCACTGTTCAGTGATGGTGTAGAAATGGACACTCCTCAATTGGGTAATGTGCTTCTCTGCAGCATTTAAAATACATGCCTGTTTGTACCTCAGTTGAAGATTTCTCTATTCTGAGTTTGCTGAATAGAGAACTGACAGGCACCAATTGCAACATGAGCAGTGTAGGGAATCTGGGGCTATGACTTGGAGCCCTAAGAAAAATGGTTAAATCCTGCAGCACAGTATGGTGAAAAGAGCCCCCAAAGGAAATAGAAATTGTAGGTCTGGTCCTACTCTGTCATATTTATCACTCATTTTGAGCAAGTCATCTAACTCAATGCTTCATCACTTATCTTCCAAGACTTGGAGGTTATGAAACTGCTTCACAGAATGTAAAGCCCTGTAAGAGTACTTAACCATGACTTATCAGTGCAGCACCCCTCAGATGTGAGTGGCAACCTCTTTTCCTCCCAGCCTGTCTTGCTTTCATGCTGACATTATATTATGTCCTAATTTTTTCTTTGCCACTTAAAGTGCCTTTAAGATTTCCCTTCTGCATCATCTTCCATTTGTATATATTGCTGGCAGACTAGTTCTTAGACTGAACATGAAGACTTACCTGGTACCCCAGATAATCCAGTTGTTTTATCTCGAATTGGTCCTTTAATCTCTCTAGGCTTCTCATTTTGGTTCTATAAAATAATGATTCGGATTAGACAGGCTACATGATATTATTAGTTCTAAAATTTATTATTTCTCTGATAAGAGAAAGAGACTCAATATGTCCATGAAGGAAAGTCTAAGAGAGATTGAGAGGAAAGGAGAAAAGAAGGAGAGCCGAAAAGAAAAGAAAAAACAAAAAGAAAGAGTATGCTTTGGGATTTGGAGGGTTGGAGAGTGGGAGTGAGGGAAGCAGTTGAGGATTTTCCTCCATTTCCAAATATGAGTGTACATTCATCATTTCATTTATGAACCGGAAAGTGATTTTGGCCATGACTGATGATGCTGGACTGGTGTTTATGAAACATTTTGTTAAAGAAAGTAAAATCATGGTTTTTCAAGGGGGTGTTTAACATGATAAAGATAGTTCCACTGCTGTCAGTGTTTAACCTTGTGACAGTCCTAAAGGACCTCCTGAGAACAAAAGTATCTCTATCTCTACCCTCCTCATATTTCTTCTATATTTACTCAATTAAACTGGCCTTTAATATGAATAAAATCAATTTCTGTTTAATATTATTTTCACTTTTTAAATTATAAAATCATGAAACTATTAAAATTTTGTTTATTTGTATGTATTAGAAAAAGCTATTATCCCTTGTAAAATTATAACAATACAGTAATTTAGTTATATTATGGGTTAAATTGATTTTTGATACTAGCCCAAGAACCTCATCATCACTTAGAACATGGTTTTCTTTGTTTTTTAAATGTGAAATGAATTCTGAATGTCAAATGTCCCACTGGAAAGTTAGGAACCACCTGTACAAATATAAATATCAGTTGAGAAATTGTTCGTGGTATCTTTTACATGGATCATTTTTAACTGATTATTTTTACTTAAGTCTATAAAAAAATGGTCTAGTCTCTTTTTCAGTGTTTCCTCGTTTCTCAAAGAGGGTATCATTCCGTTTTGAACAAGGTGGTTTTTTGTTACACAAGACTGTTGCATGTGTAGGACATTTAGTTTCTTTGGCCTCTGCTTGCCAAAATGCCAGAGCTTGGGGGTATAGCTCAGAGGTAAAACATTTGACTGCAAAATGCCAGAGTTTTTTTTGGAGTGTCACAGTTGGTAGAGTGTCACATCCTTCTGGAGAATGTAAGAGGGTTGTTACCACCTCCAACTGTAAAACATTAAAGGACTTTACCTTGGTAATGTTTACTTAAAATGGTTTGAAGTTTATCATTTCATAATCATTAAATAAATGTGGTAAGATTTTATTTGTAGCACCAAAATTTATGATGTTAAAATTGGTAACGTGAGTATTTTTTTTAGATAAATGTATGAGTTGCCTGTTAGAAGTAGCACTTTCTGGAAATGAAGAACAGAAGCCTTTTGATTATAAATTGCGGCCTGAAATTGCTGTCTATGTAGACTTGGCATTGGGTTGTTCTAAAGAGCCTGCCCGAAGCCTTTGGATCAGCATGCAGGACTATGCTGTTAGTAAAGGTAAGATAAATAAGCTAAAGGGAGTAAATTTGTAGTTAGCTCATAGTGCTCACAAATATATTTGCAAGATATGTAAGTGAAACTCATACGGATCACGTAGGAAAAGGTATTTTATGAATAACACTTTTAAACAATTTGTTTTTCCCTTTGTGGAAAATAGTGTAACTGTTTTTTTATATACATGTATTCCACTTAAACCTACTGTGTGAAAATTGAGATTTATATAATACATTTGTAGGTAATCATTTTACTAAAGTATAGTAGTCTCCGTATATCTGCGGGTGACATGTTCCAAGACTCCCAGTAGGTTGCCTGGAACCACAGGTAGTACCGTACTCTATATACATTACTTTTTTTCCTGTGTGTACATACTTGCCCATGATAAAGTTTAATTTGTAAATTAAGCATAGTAAGACATTAACAACAACAATAATAAAATAGAACAATTACAATAATATGCTAACTGAATTACTACTCTTGCATTTTGGGGCCAGTATTAAGTAAAATAAGGGTTACTTGAACACAAGCACTGTGATACTGCGGCAGTAGATTGTATAACCAAGAGGGTTACTAAGTGACTTGGTGAGATTTCATCATACTACTTAAAAGGGCATGCAATTTAAAAGTTAAGAATTGTTTATTTCTGGAATTTTCCATTTAATATTTTTGGACCACAGTTGACCGCAAGTAACTGAAACCATGAAAAGCAAGACCATGGATAAGGGGGGACTGTTGTATTCCATGCTATGTAAATGGATCTGTTAACGATTAAGAGTCTGTTTAACGATTATCTTCCCTTTGCAAGCCCTGGTTTAATAACTGAAAGGATGTGTACTTAGAAGTCTTAGCTCTAGGTGTGGTCAGTATTTCTTCATCTATAAAACATTTTGCCTACTCTAGAGTGCTGGTGAAGATACCAGTTTGAGATAAGATATACTATTAAGTACCATGGTAAAGTACTATGCAAGTTTGTGGTGGTATTTCAGTTTCTAATATTATTTGATTAAGAAAATTAATTTTATAGGCTGGGCACAGTGGCTCA